TTATTTGCAAGGCCATCCTTTGAAGCTTGTTCCTGGTTCCATTCCTCTCTCAGCAATGTCTGTCCATTCCATGGCATTTCCAAGTCAGCATTTCTCATCTCCAGGTTTGCACAGAGATGCACACACTGTGTGAGCCTTCTATCATGCTTTGAGAATTCCCCACAAACTCATTTCTCCCTCTCTCTTGAACAGAAAAGACTTCTTTGATGGCTTTGTTTATTGTTTGTTGTGTACAGTGAAGTACCCAAGGCGCTGTTATTGTATTTGTGGGGTGCCCTTGTGGCAGGAAGGAATGATGAATCTGCCTCCATGTCCTCAGAAAGCTAATTTATTAGTTTATAATGCTATATTATATTAAAGAATACTATACTACAGTATACTAAAGAATACAGAAAGCATATTTACAGAAGGTTAAAAAGATAATAATGAAAACTCATGACTCTCCAGAATTCTGACACAGCTTGACCCTGATTGGCCAAAGAGTCAAAACAATTCACATGAAACCAATGAAACAATCACCTGTGGGTAAACAATCTCCAACCACATTCCAGAGAAGCAAAACACAGGAGAAGCAAATGAGATAAGAATTGTTTTCCTTTTTCTCTGAGGCTTCTCAGCTTCCCAGGAGCAAAATTTTTCAGAAAATATGACTGTGACATGCTGTCACAGACATTGTCCCTACAACAATTAACGTACATAAATTAAAGGAGGTGGTGCAGGGCCAGTGGGACAAACACTGTCCCGTGGGCAGGCAGCGTTCCCTGCTCCTGTCTGTTATTTCAGCCTCCCTGCAGAGGGCACAGAAATGCCAGGCCCACTTCTAATTCAGGGAACTGAGGAAGGGAAATGTGAGTGGCTGCTCTCGGAGGCGATCTGCCGGGAGGAAACGCCACCAAAGGCTTCTCAGCTATCCCGGGAATGGCCTCGGCCCGGTGAGGTCCCCGCCTCTCCTGCCGTGCTTGGGTTACTCCAACCTGGGAGTCGCTGCCAAATATCTCATGGGGAATCCACCAGGACTGGCAGGGAGGGATGAGCGAGATGAGCTCACGGGTATTTTCCTTGCCTCTCAGCCTCCTGTGAGTCAGTCGCCCCGCTGAGCTGGAGCTGCTGCCCTGGAGAGGGTGGGTTCCCTTTGGAGAGACCTCCATGGTCTCCAAAGGGAGTGTTGGATGGTGGGTGGAACCTGGTGGTGCACTGCAGAGAAAAGCACCTGGAGCAAAGCTTTAGGGAGGGAAGGGAAGAAACGATGGAGAAACGATGAGCTGGGATTCCTGCAAAAAACACACGGATGGGGTGAGGGCTCCTCTGGGATGGGGAAGCCTCAGGCAGGCTCTGCTCCAGAGCTGAGTCACGGGGCAGGAAATCTTGAAGTCACCCTCCAGATCCCCCTGGGAAGAGCCTGCTGGGGTGGACACAGCAGTGCTGGCACCTGAGCTGCCATGGGATGGTGTCACCCACAGGACAGGGACACAGGGCTCACCTGGCACCGGGAATGGGATGTTGGGACCCTTTGCAGGATGACACACTTGGATCCTCACAGGTCACTCCCACAGCTGCTGTGCCTGCAGGAGCACATTCCAGAAGCACAACGGTGGGGTCGTGGTCGTTTTAAAAATTCTCTACAAATCCATTTCCCACAGGGTTGGGGTTAGGGGGAGGACACAGGGTTTGTGCTGCTGCCACACCAGAGGTGACAACAACTCTGGGGCTCCTTGTCCAGCATTATCCTTGCACCCGGCATCTTTTGATCCCAGAGAAAACAATTATGACCCTTTGGAATTGCCTCTTACACCACCAAACTCCTTGGGTGCTTGGCTGCTTCCCTCTTGCTCTGCTGTGTCCCTTCCCTCCCGGACAGAAAAATTCCCACTTCCAGAGCCGTGGCACTGCGCCGATGTGGCACTGCCCTCTGCTGTCGGTGCCTGCGGGGACAGCGCCCGAGGCCACTGCTCCGAGTAGAAACACCGAGATTTATGTCACCTGAAGGACCTGGAAGCCACAAAGCTGTCCCAGGAGGATGCGGCATGCACGGTCCCCAGGCATGACAAACAGCAAAGCCCTGGAGGAGCCACTGCCTGCTTGGGCTTCCCTTTTTTCCCTGGCTGGAAGCAGAAGTGGGGACTATTTTTGGTGCTGCCTCGCTTTGGAAAGAGTCACACACACCCAGGGCATCACCCCGGATCTGGCACCTCGCTGTGGGCAGAGAAAATGAGTAACAGCAAGGGTCTCACTGCCTTTCCATGACCCACAGCTCAGCCAGGGGCTGCCTGGAGGAACTGGAGTTTCCTTCCACGTGCTGGGATCACCAGTTTCTTGGGGATGCGCGTGGAAAATGACTCTTCAACTGCTTTTTCCACCAGAGAAACGCTCAGGAAAAGCCTCCCAGTGATAACACTGCTTGTCCTGGCCTCCACCTACTACCCTGTATTGCCTTTTCCCAAGCTGGACGAACTCGGGTGGCAGGATAAGGACACTCAGCATGACCCTGGCACTGGTCCTATCTCCCAAATTCTCCTCCAGGAAAGGCCTCTAGATGGGGCTTTAATGAAATATTGCTCTGGCCTCTGCCAGGCCGTGGTGGTCTCCATGGGGCTTCTGACCCCCAGCACCCACAGGCGCTGACTTGGTGCCACTTCACTGGGGGAAGGAAGCTGAGATATTCCCAGATAATGGTGAATCACATGGATTTGAGGAAGCTGGAATGGATGTGACACCCACCCCAAGCAAGTTTTAGCCCCCAGCCCAAGGGGTGCTGATGCAGAGCCACAGTGGGAGCCCCACATCCCATGCACGGGTGGATGTGGGAAGATTTGAACGGTGCTTTTCCACAAGGCTGCTTTTGTTTTGGCAAAAATGTGGTCAGGCACTGGGCTGAGATGTTTTAAAAAATAAAAAATAAAAAAAAAACCCTTCCTCCTTTTCACCCCAAAAATAACAGAATCCATGCAGTTTGCACAGTGCTGGAAAGACAAAATGCTCAACGGTATGGTCAGAGGTGAGAATAAATTTACTGAGCTCCCAGTGTCACTCCAGGAGCTATTCCAGGACAAAATGTTCATCCCCATTAACTCTCCCCCTGTGTGGCTCCTGAACTGGTCTGTCCAGGGATTCTGTGGGTCAGAAACAGCAGTGACCCCATTCTGAGCACCCCAGGGTCTTGCTGCTCATCATGCACCAAATGTCACCTGCTGGGCACAGCTCTGTGGGGCTGAGCTTAAACCCCCAGGGACAGTGGCTTTTGAGATGAGAGCCCGGTGCCAGGTGTCCTCTTGCCTCTGTCCCCACGGGGACACGGGCTGGCTCAGCAGCGTGACACACACATGCTCAGGAGGGGAACCTTCCTGTTCTCGGCTGCTGGAATTACCTCCAGGATGACGATGACAGTGACATCGACAGACCTGGAAAAACGCTGCCGGCCAAAAGGGTGACATTTAGGGCATTAACTGCCTCCCCCCCGGGCTGCTCGGTGTCCCTGCACTGCTCACAGCGGCGTGGGTGTGCACACGAGCGTGCAACGCCTGTGCCTTCCCACATCTAACCTCTGCACGTCTGCCCAGATGTGCCAAACCTCCCCCTTGCCCAGCTGCCCACCCCTGGCACATCCAGCCCTTCCACGACTGCTGGATTCTTGCACAGCTGCCCAGATGTGGCACACCTACCCCTTGCACACCTGCCCTGATCCTTGCACCACCACGCAGCCCTGGCACACCCCATCCTTGCCCCTACAACACCCACGCCTTGCACACCTGGCCCTGCTGCCCATGCCATGCCCAGATGCCAATCCCTCGCACACCCACCCCTGGCACACTCATCCCTCTCCCGCCTGCCCTTCTCGCTCCCCCCCGGCACTCTCACCCCTTCCCCACCGTGTCCCCCCCACCCCGCGATCCCCGGCTCCCGTTCCCCCGCGCTCTCCCCGCCCCGCC